AGGAATGAGTGGGAGAACGGCGAGTGGGTGCGGGCTGTTGAAGTACTGAAGGTATGGGGGAGGGGGTGCTTCAGAGGACTGCAGAGCAAGGCTTAGAGGGTGTTAACCATGCCAGCACTTAAAATACGGCTTATTGTTACTTTTAGTCTTTAAAAACCAAGCAAGAGGCGATCAGCATGCTTTCTCTGAATGATGTGAGGGAACTTCGAACCCACTCAGAAGCGCAGAATTAGAAAATGATTTCAACCCTATGCCCAAGATGTCAACATCCCATTATTCAAGTTACAGGTGTTCAAGTATCTCTCAGCCCAAATCCTAAAGATCTGAAATAAACAACCTGCCATGTCAAAAACAGAACTGTCAAAACAAACGGTCCAACACACTGTCGGACACACACCAGAATGACTTCGGTCTTTTGTTAGTCACAGCTGAAATATATGCACAGCTACACCATGGCATATTGAAATGTCATCTACTGCTGGCGGGTATCACTTCCTGCTACTTCAAACTCTGCAAATAATCTGCATATCTATGTGTATCAAGGACCCAAAGGCCCGTCATGTAAGAATAATCATTTTTTTAATAATTTTTTTTTTGTTTTTTGTTTTGAGCGAGAGATAGAGACAGCATGAGCAGGGGAGAGTCAGAGAGAGAGGGAGACACAGAATCTGAAACAAGCTCCAGGCTCTGAGCTGTCAGCACAGAGCCCGATGCGGGGCTCGAACCCACAAACCATGAGATCATAACTTGAGCCGAAGTCGTACGCTCAACCGACTGAGCCACCCAGGTGTCCCAAGAATAATCAACTTAAAAAGTGGGAAAACATGGTCCTGGGACATAACAGGGCAATTAGGCTGACAGTTATCACAGTTCTCTCACAGCTTTTCAGACAGGGACTCTGATGTTTGTGTTTCTGGGTTTTTGTTTTTATTTTTGAAGCATGTATCAAAACAGCTGAGAAAAACAAGTTCCCTAGAGCTGAGTTATGCACAGGGCAGCGTGCCAGAGGCTGGAGCTGATCATACTGCAGACCTAACACATTAACATCCAGGTAAACGGCAAGGCGGCTGAGGAGGTGGGTGGCAGACAAGGGCTAGGAAGGAAGTACCTGGTTACCCAGGGTTACACTGAAGTGACAACCCAGACTCAGCCACCAAAGGCCAAAATGGGCCAGTTTCTGAAAATCATTTGTGGTTTATGCAAGAGGAGGGGAAAAAAAGATACATGCTTGGAGCTTGCTCAAACCATCAGAGTAAAAAGTATTCAGAAGAAAACAAGACTAGTTTGTGAAGTTTTGTAGAGTAGGGGCACCTAGGTGGCTCCACTGGTTGAGCGTCAGGCTTTGGCTCAGGTCATGAATTCAGGGTTCGGGAGTTCGAGCCCCATGTCGGGCTCTCTGCAGGTCAGTGCCAAGCCAACTTCAGATCCACTGTCTCCCTCTCTCTATGCCCCACTCCACTTGCGCTCTCTCCCTCTCTCAAAAATAAACGTTAAAAAAACCCTAAGTTTCGTAAACACTGGATGGAATCCATGTATCAACTTGTTTATTTCCCAGAAAAATCTATTCACTACAGCGGACTTGGTGCTGTGTCCATGGGCAAGTGTACATACATGCCCCCAGCCCCCACATGGAAACCTCAAAATCACCCCATGCCTATATTTCGTTAATGATACAAATGCAGAGTTGCCTTCACGGCTCAGTCGGTTAAGTGTCTAACTTCAGCTCAAGTCACAATCTTGTGGTTCACGAGTTCAAGCCCCATTTCAGGCTCTGTGCTGACAGCTTGGAGCCTGGAGCCTGCTTCGGATTCTGTGTCTCCCACTCTCTCTGCCCCTTCCCCTGTTCATGCTGTCTCTCAAAAATAAATATGGTTTTAAAAACATGATACACATCCGACGTAAATAGTTTAATGTTACATTTCCACAGCAACTGGCAATAATTAATATTGTGTTCAAAGGTCCCCGTGACAGCCAGAGAATGTGCACCACCCACTTTGGGAGGGAAGTTCACAGGCACCCGTATTAGTGTACCTGTTTGCCTAGTCGCCGCTCTGATTTTACATGCTCAGTGCTTTAAAGGGAAAATACAATTTTTCTTCCAGTTGCTGCCCACCCAGGATGAGAGCTGTATCGGGGCACAGTATACCTGGAAGGCACAGATATTATCTGGTGATGGTGGGAATAAACCTCCACGTTTCTTTTTTCTTTTTTTTATTTACTTAGTATAAGGAGAAGGGTTGTATATTTTGTCCATTGGGAAACGGTGAAATAAAAAACCATTAAAAGATCAGAACAATGCATATAAATCAAGTCTATCCTTGCGAAACCAAATCGAGGCTCACCTGCCATAATAGTATTTGAGATCCACCAAAATACAGGGCACGACCACGGCCATCTTGGCCTCCAAGGGAAAGAATGGGCTTTATGACACACTGTTCACCCTTGGTCTCCAGAAAGCAGCAGCAGGATTAAGTCAAACCTGGGACAGGAGGCCAAAGTTAATGAAAAGACATTTCCTAAACTGTTTTTAGTTTAGCCTGAGCACAGAGCACCTTTAAAGGTCACTAGCAGGAGACACACTCAAGAGCTACTGTTCTGGAAACAGCATCACATGCGCAAATCACAGCACCGAAAGGTCTCGGAGCCTAGCTATGAGTCAACTTTATGGAGCTATTGAATCAGAGCGCTGGTCTAAAATGGCATGTAATGTCCCCAGTCTTTTCCAACAGGCATATCCAGATAAAAAGGACTGAACTAAAAGGCCGCCTCGGGGAGAACCTCTAAACTTAACTACTACTTTGGTTTAGCAATGGCCCGAGTCTCCTGTGCTACAGGACTATTCCCAATCCATACAGAGAGCTGGAATCTGCCCATTTCCTTGCTCTTAAACATTCACATACAGGCGCGCCTGGGTGGCTCCGTTGGTTAAGCGTCTGACTTCGGCTCAGGTCTGATCTCACAGTTCATGGGTTCAAGTCCCACGTCGGGATCTGTGCTGACAGCTCAGAGCCTGGGGCCTGCTTCAAGTTCTGTGTCTCCCGCTCTCTGATCCTCCCTCCCTCATGCTCTGTGTCTCTGTCTCAGAATAAACGTTTAAAAAATTTTAATATTCACCCAATCTCACTCCTAGCTAGTGGGTTAAGTCTTTTAGTGTCAAAATACAGATTGTATCTTCATTCAAATCTTAGCTTCCATTTGACTTTAACAAACAATACCCTGGTATTTTTTCTGTCAGTAGTAACATGTGTCCATTTTTAAGGCTCGGATGTCAAAATCAAAATTCCTTAGAGCTTCCCATACTCCTCTACCTAACTGTGCATGCTGGATTGGGCTTCTTCATTTCCTCTCAATCCTGACTTAACTCTCTCAACAAGTTATCCTGGGCATGTTTCGGTGGTGGGTGGAATCCTGCCATGGGTCTTTTGTAACCACTTATTTCCATTTCCTTTCTGGTGACTGTGATATGGCCCCTAAGAGTCTATAGAGGTAGACACAAGCGATTAAAAGAGGATTAAAGAGAATTAAAGATGGCTTTTTTTCTTTTTTAAGAGAGGGTGAGTGTGAGTGGCAGAAGAGGTGCAAAGGGAGAGAGAATCTTTTTTTATTTTTTAACTTTTTTTAATGTTTATTTATTTTTGGAGAGAGCAAGAGACAAAGCATGAGCAGGGGAAGGGACAGAGAGAGACGGAGACAGAATCAAAAGCAGGCTCCAGGCTCTAAGCTGTCAGCACAGAGCCGGATGCAGGGCTTGAATCCATGAACTGTGAGATCATGACCTGAGCCGAAGTCAGACACTCAAAAGACTGAGCCACCCAGGTGCTCCAGAGATGGCTTTTAAGGTTAAGAAAGCAGGGGTGCCTGGGTAGCTCAGTCAGTTAAGAGTCCGACTTCGGCTCAGGTCATGATCTCACCGTTCATGAGTTTGAGCCCCAGGTCAGGCTCTGTGCTGACAGCTCAGAGCCTGGCGCCTGATTCGCATTCTGTGTCTGCTTCTCCCCCACTCACACGGTCTCTTCTCTCAAAAATAAACATTTAAAAAAAATTTTTTTAAAAAGGTTAAGAAAGGAATTTCTACTACTTCCTCAGTTTTTCACTGTCTCCTAACTGGCACCCCCACTATCCACCCACATTGTGGTTCCAAATGAATGAATGAAAGACGCCCGTATGCTCAGAAGATGCTAAGTTCTGGACCCCAGGAGCCTCACCTCTGTTGCCACCTGTGGCTCTGGGAGATGGCGGCCTCCCGCTGACCAAGACACGACGGAGAGAACAGGGTGGGATGGGACTCGGGACAAAACGGGGTAAAGAGAGCAAGGCTCTCCACCTTCAGCGTGCAGCAGGGTCATGAGGCCCTGATCAACAACACAGACGCCTGAGCGGAGATTCTGAGTCAGCGAAATCTGGGACAAGGCCTAGACACCTATATTTTTAACAGGCACGCCCCTACCCCTTCCATTCTCACCCAGGCAGTGTTCCAGCTTCAGCTTTGGGAAACACATAAAGCAGTAATGACGCCTTTTATCTGCAGAGGAGAAAACCATGCACGTTATTACCAAAGCGCCAGGCTTCGCTGCTCTCCCGCAAGTGCCTCAGAACGGTAACTCATGGCCTGTGAGGAGGTGAGTAAACCTGTGTGTGTCTGGCCATACGTGAGCATTCATTTCTTTTGTTTTTAATTTTTTAATATTTATTCATTTTTTTGAGAGAGAGAGAGTGTAAGTGGAAGAGGGGTAGAGGGAGAGTGGGAGACCCAGAATCCAAAGCAGGACCTAGGCTCTGAGCCGTTGGCACAGAGCCGGACGCGGGGCTCGAACCTACGAACCAAGAGATCGTGACCTGAGCCAAAGTCACACACCCAACCGACTGAGCCGTCCACGCGCCCCCTTTCGCCCCGTGAGCATTCATTTCCAGCAGCCACCATCACTCAGACTTTTCTGCTCAGTCCACACGCCATCTATTCTAAAACACACTCAACAGAGGCAACATTTCTGAACTCGAGATTGGTTTTCAAGGTATGCGATTATTTTATTTCCTTGGCCTGACAGCATACACTTCGTTACACAAGAACCTGCAGCTGACAGAACTGAGACAGATTTCACCTACAGGAAGGACCCTTTTCATTAGCAGAGATGGACTGAAATGTCATGACTGGGTGCCACTCCCGCTCCCCACCCCCACCCCTGTAACCCCCAAAGTGAAAATACTCGGAATCAACAGAATCCCCCTGAACTACGAAGTCATCCGCTCAAACTTTCCTAACTGGCAGCTGCAGTAACAACGAAAACCAAAGGAGGTAAGCAGCTGGTCATCTCTTAACATTTATGTGTGCTCGGGACTCAAGGGACACCAACGAGGGAGCAAGAATCCAGGCTGAGTGGGAGGGGCAGACCCTCCGTCTCACCTCCCACCTGCCCCTTCCATACTAAAGACGTCTCTGTCCCTATACATGGAGCAAAGTCTGGGAGATGCTGAAGGAGTGGTGGTAGCCCGTAACTGGAAATGACTGTGGTTCATTAAAGCCCGAGGGAGCTATGGGAGAAGGGGTACCAGAGAGAGAGCAGGTTAGACGGAGGTGCTCAACTTGGTCAATTCCAGTTTAACGCTATCAAAACTATATTCATAACCCATCACGTCCCTCATGCTTGGCCCCTATTTTCCAGTGGGGAGAAAGTGCCATCTAAATGTTTACCTGATGTCTGATCTATCAGCACCCCTGGGTGGTGCCGTGACGTGGGTGGTGAGGATTCCGACTGGGATGGGAAGGTATGAAGACAGGAGATCAGGGTCACAATGTTTTAACTACGATGGGTCTCTTTTGGTCCCTAGGAATGATCTACTACCAGAAGTCCTAACACATCCACAGCCCCTTCCCTACATAGCTTGTGCAAATGTCAAAAATAGAATCTCTGCCCAAAGAGGAGGGAGAGCAGGAAGGTACTGGTGGTCCCCGATCATCTCTGGCCCCAGCTCGCCTGCCTCCTGCCTCTTTTGTGAGGTCACACAGAAGTTCACTCCGAAATGTGAAAATGAAACCATCTCCGTTCTTCTATGCAAGCCAAGCCAGCAGCTCTGTCCTGACATGCTTTCTCCCTGGGCCGAGGAAGCGGCGAAAAATATCAATTGAGCATGTGAAAATATGATGACGGTGTGTGCGGTGTAGTGTTTCCAGAGGTCTTCCCCTTCTGTCTCCTCCACGGTGGGAGCCCTCCCTCTCCTTCCCCAAGTCCCACACACACCCCTCCCCCTACCCCCGAGTCCACGTGCTCCCATCTGCTGGGCTTCCGCCACTCACTTCCCATAGACACTCTCGTCACTGTAGGCCACGTACAGAAAGTAGTCTTCCTCGTGGTTGTCCTGCAGGAGAGACAAGACAGCAGTTGGAAACCATCACGTTCCTTCCTCAGGAGTCTGGGCCTCACACACCCTTGTGGAAGGGGGTGCAGGAAGTGGCGTCAGCCTCCATTCCAAGAAGCATAAACAATAAACAAAGTGACTGGAATTCAGCCTCTGAGTTCACACGAAGTCTTCAGGGAGAACATCAATGCCTAGAGGTCTCGGGGTAAGAACATGACCCTTAAGAAAGCTTACTCTGGCAAGGGAAACACAGATCCGAAAACACACATTTGCTACAATACACACTCAATGGGGACTACGTGCGCTGGAATAAAAATGAGATTAAGAGGTTGTTAGAGGAGTTTCCACCACGCACTAACCGAGCGCAGGAAGAAGGCAGTGCCATACGAAATCATATAAGGAATACAGTTATGTAACTGGGTGACGCAGCATGACCAAGTGTTTCTCTATAGTGTTCTCGTTAGATTCTGACCCTTTACCTGTTAAACCAAATAGAATCCCATCAATTATTCCCTCCAGCCGAGTTTAGCTGTTAAGACAAATGAATCGATTTAAAGGCTTGGCCTTATCATTGTAAACGGCATTTCATGTGGAAGTTGTGATCAAAAACCATTTCTTGCTGCTTCAGTAAAGATGATCCCAGATTACCAACCAGAATAAGGCAAAACTGAGAATTCAAAGAGAATGAATCTAGCAGGCTGCTGCTCGATCCCTAAAGGACAGGTGACATCTAATCTCCCAGAGCCTTAAACGGTTGTGTGTAAGGGGATCTAGGTAAGTAACACCTCCTGCCCCACTTCCCGGGTGTGTTATCAGCGGACACTGGAACAAAGGCTAGAAAACACCAGACTGCACGGTATTGTTGTGACCGGGACGCTTACCTCATACAGCTGGCCCATGGTGGCACTGGTGGGAGGGATAGTGTTGTTGACAAAGAAGAATAAGGCATCCTCGGGCCTCAGGTGGATCCTCTTCCGGATTAAGAAGTAGAACTGGCCAACTAGGTAAAGAAGAAGGAAAAGAAGGCAATTAGGGAAAATAAAGGGTTACCGAGAGGCATCACTCCCAGAAAAAAAATTGTCAATTGTTCCCTTGTTTAAGTACCAGCTTTAGATCAAATCTCAAAAGCACCAAATACTGTCCTACAGCTTTAGAAATAGACAGTGCAACTCAGCGGGCCTCACTATTCCCTGACAATCATGGAGAAGCTTATCCTTCAGCCCTTTCCCTCTTTACTCAATGCCAGACACTTTACTCAATTTCAGATGTAATGTTAGGATCTCCGTTCAAAGCCGGAGGACAACTTTGAGGGAATGCCATGTACATCCAGATTAAAATACTCTTATCATTGTCTAAACGGGATCTGAAACACATTTCCTACCCAGTCGGACCCCACCACAAACTGGAGACGGGGAAAGGTCTACTGGACTCCAGTAATCTCAGTATGATCACTTATCCCAAAGCTGGGGCCACAAGTGGGGTTCAATGCCATACCTTCTACTGAACAGATTGAAAAAGTTCTATAAGGCTGGGAAACGCACCTACAAAACCTTGGCAGTGTTTCCTGGATTCACTGGTTCTTCCATTAAGGATCATTAGCGTGAAGAATTAACACATTCTTTATAATCCCAATCAACGTCTACAGAACGTATTATCAAAAACCATAGCTTGAGAAGACCAAATATTCAGCTGAGAATCTCTTAAAATGTGATCCTCCTTCTGCCTTTCCTTTTGGTGTAAACTGACAGCACAATAACAAAGCTGACTGTAAGTGGTTTAAGTAATGGGCATCTGGTCTTTGCTTCCAATGTCGTGTATTCTGCTGTGTCTAAATCACACAAGACACGGGATAGGACATACATAGGGGACCTGGCAATGAAGAACAGCTCAGTTACTCCTGGTTGAGGCTCCCCACACTCTGGAGAATCCCTCCCGCTTTCTTCAACTCTACCCCCTCTCAATCCCATGATCCCATGCATGCACACGGGACCGAAAATGCCATGGGAAGGAGCACGTGGAGAGGGGAAAAAGCATTACCAGTGAGGTCCGAGGGCACTAGGTACTTCCTCTTGTCCAGATCGGGCACCCTGGCCTTTGGAGCCTTCTCCACAATCACCTGGGACGGAGGAGAGTGAGAATGAAAACTATAGAAGCTAGTCTTTTTCCTTCCACATCCTACAGTGGCCCGATTTGAAGTGAGTTTGTCTAGACCCAGTAAAATGTTCCCATTTCTTATTCCCCCTTACCTCTTACAAAACCTATGGGGGCATGGGCTTCCTTAGTGAGGTTACAGTTCATTTTACTACAATGAGAAGAGAATAAAGGCACGTGATGGAAAATAAAGAGGCGCTTGATTTTAAGTAATTACAAGTTACCTGTCAGGCATAGGATCTACACTTCCTGGTATTTAATAAGATCATGGAGAGGACTATGCATTTCCTCATACAGACCTGAGTACCTAGTAGTTTTATTCTTTCTTACGAATACCATTTATTAAAGGTATAGGTAATGTAGTTTCTAATCTGTCAAAATTTTCAAGACCGACTGCAAAAACATACGTTCAAGGCATGGTTTTATTATATCAAAGAAGTACTAAATATTTCTTATTGTAAAATATCCTGTAATATGAAGTCACTATAATAACGCATTTATCAATATTGATTTAGTGTTAGTATTTTAAGAGATTTGCAATGCCCACATTAAATATTTCTAGAATACTTCAAATTTTATGAAGATCATGTTCCTGTAACGAAAAGGAAAAAATAAAGATGTATAAAAATTAAAGATTCTATGCATAAAATTTTAAATCGTAATTTAAATAATATATTTAAGTTTATGTAGTAATTACAAGAATTTACTATTTTTTTAATGCTTATTGGGGGGGAGGGGGCGTATACGCACAGGCACATGAACAGGTGAGGGGCAGAGAGAGAGGGAGAGAATCCCAGGGCAGAATCCAACACGGCCCAATCTTACGAACTCAAGATCATGACCTGAGCCAATATGGAGAGTTGGATGCCTAACCGACTGAGACACCTAGGTGCCCATATTTAGTATTAATATCTGTTCTGTGATTTCACTGAAATAGTAAATATTTAAAATCTATTGTAGAATCACCAGCTTTAAATTTTTAGTTTAGAATATACAATCATTCCTGGCTAAAAATACAGAAAGTATAGAAAAATTCTAGAAGTAACAAGAATCCCTAGGAACTCCTTGTGATCAAAGGTCACACCTCTCAGCCACAGCTTTCCAGTGATTTTTATAGGAAGACAGATGATAATTTCCAACCCCTCTTTTACAGTCACGGTACTGATAAAATAAATTTGAATAATCCATAAAATATATGAAAATGATCTGTTCCTAAATAGAAGGGTTGACTTACAGGAAGGACTTAGTGCTTGAAGCTTTTATATGAAAGGGAACCCATTAAAATAGTGAAAAACGGGGGCACCTGGGTGGCTCAGTTGGTCGTGCATCCGGCTTTCGGTTTCAGCTTGGGTCATGATCTCACGGTCTGTGAGTTCGAGCCCCATAAGGGGCTCTGCGTTAATGGAGTGCAGCCTGCTTGGGATTTTTATCTCTCTACTTCTCTCTGCCTTTCCCCTGCTGATGCTCTCTCTCTCTCTCAAAATAAATACATAAACTTTAAAAAAAAATAGTGAAAACCATTATTCTGTGTTTCTGGAGAGAAAGAATCTTGCAGCACCAGGAAGATCAGAAAGATACGGTTCCACTAAAAACTGAAGGAAAAAAAAAATACATGAATCAGAAATTTTGAAGAAAAGGTAGCAATAGGTTCAGGGAGAGACCAGTGAAGGCCCAACAATGAGGACAGACAGGAGGAAAAGACAAGGTAAGGAAATCAAAGGGAAAGAGCCAGAGCCTCGCACTGTTTCTCCAAGGAACCCCGAGACCTCTCAGCTCCCATCAGTAAGAAGTGATGGGAAGCACAGAGAGCAGAAAAAGAGGACAATAAAATAGACTGCAAATAAGACATCCCGACAGGGGGTGGGATGTGGAGAGGAACAAGAGGGGGTAATCACGAAGGCCGGGGCTCACGGGAAGATTCTAGGTTTCCAAGAATCCCAACTCTACTCAACCCTGGGCTAGATGCTTTTCCTCTCTGGTTCTGTTTTGTTTTGTTTTTCTTGTGTGCAACCTGGCTAATGTTCCACAGGGCCGCTCATAAATTTTTAAAAAGCAGACAATCCGTTCCTAATGGTTTCCCGCAGTGTTGCAGGTTTTCACTACACTGTAGCTGCGAAGATCATTTAAGATCTCAAGAAACCCTCTCCTCCCAAGGCACGAGCACATCTATTCTTTTGGATGTAAGCTAAGAAATAAGGCCGGGCCAAACTGAAATGGAGTTACGGAAGCAGTCAGGGTCCGTGGTTGCTTCGGTCCAGCTGGAAGGGGCTTTAGAAATCACTTACCCTAACCCACTTTTCTGTAAAGGGCAAGATTCAGGGTTCTGCCCAGAACTAGAATTGAATCTCACAACTCAGAAAGCACAGCTCTTCTCCCTGCGTCACAACTGCAGAGATAGTCACAGGCTGGGCGCCTACGGAGCAGCTGGGAGCCGAGCTGGCCAAACTGGTTAAAACCCCACCAGAGGAGCCATGAGATCTGAGCGATGGTTCTAACAGCTTACAAATTATCACAGAGGTGTAAGAGTTCACGCCAAACAAAGAGCTGGAAAAGAATGGGGAGGATTAGCTGAAATATTCTGGGGGAATGCATGTAAATGACTGAAATGGGAAGGGCTCCCATTTGTTCTGAAGAAATACATGGGAAATTTACCTAGATGTGGGAACAGGGACATGTCAGAGGTTGTCCCTGTCCCTCTCAAGCAGAGCTACTGGAACACAGCTTCAGAAGAGAGCTCTGAATAAATGGTAGTCGTTTTGCTCCGTGGGTTACCTTTCTGGCATCACACTACTCTGTGACGGCCACAATTTTTCTCGATTTCCCATACCGAACAGTGCGAGGCACACAGTGCATGCTTACTTAATTCCGTTGAAGTGAACTGTTAATCAGAAGTTGAAAAACCAGAGATGGAATCTCAGCTCTGCCATACACCAGCCACAGGAAACCTTCAGGAGTATTTAATTTCTCTGTGCTTCAGATCTTTCTCTGCAGAATGCGATCATACCGGTGTGAGGATTAGGAGAATAAAGTCAGAGGTGTTCTGGAACACTGCCAGTACAGAGTAAATGACCAGTCAGTGAAAGTCGGTGGTCATTTTTAAATATTTTAAGAGAGTAGGATTGCTATGACCACAATTAGGGGAAACTTTTGAAGCAGTCATCCGAGGTCCAGAGAGCATAACAAATAATTAGTGAAGGATCCCTCACTGGGTGGGTAATAGCGTAGTGCTCTCTTTTACCCAAAAACCCTTCTGTGCAGTTCCTGGGGAACGGAACAGCCCCCCTGCCTCGCTTCCTTATAAGAAAAGGACTGTGAGGGGTTTCTACTGCTGGCATAAGGCCCAAGTTGCTTCCAGAAGCTGTAACGCGATCAAAGTTAGGTAAGGATCAGAGAAGAGTCCCCAGGTACCTGCAGGTCAAGAATGCACATCAGATTATGGCAGATTACTTACCTGTACATAGCATGTAATATTGACCCAAAAGTCCCTGCCTGAAGTTAAAGAGCACAATCTGAAGGCCTCTGCGCCTCCATTTCTAAAACCCAACGGCTGCTGCTCTCTACCACACTTCAAAGTCTTCTGCCTTGCAATCAGGCTGCGCAGCCCACAGTACAGAAAAACCAGGCAAGTGGCGGGGGAGGGGGTGACAGAAAAAACGCCCGGATGCAGAAAGCTATCTTAATGTTTCTTCTGTTCCTCCTCGCTGCCTGCGCTAATTTTAGCCACATAAATCTGCTTCCAGAACTGAAAAGGAAAAGGCGTCAGTCCTTCCATATTGTGTCCAGGTACAATCTGATGGAGTAAGTACCGGGGGGGGGGGGAGCTGGCTTCCCCCCCACATACCCCTGGAGCCAAGAACGATGAGGCAATCGGGCTGTTGCGCATAGAACGTGACCTTGTTTTCTGGGCCAGGCCTGTCTGGTGGTGTGCACCCCACCCCCCGCCGCTTTTTAATTCTTACGTTATAAAAAGAAAGAATCCACTGGCTTCCGAACCTTTCCCTCCCAAACCCAATGTTATGAGGGCCAAAGTCAACTTAAGGGAGAAGCATCTAAGGCAGAAATCGAGGGGCGTAAACCTCACTGCAGGTTATTCCCAGATCGATTTCCCAGCGATCTCAAAGGGAGATGTACGGTCCCAAACCGATCCTTCTCTCACAAAAGGGCCACATTTTGAACACATCCCAATCTGAACATTCTCTGAATCCTGCTGAGTCACTCAAACGTAGGCTCCTCTCTAAAGATGCGGTCAGCTCTAAAGATGACGGGCCCCGGGGAGAGGGGTTTTTGAAAGCTCCGCAACTAGGTCCATTCCGTCGGCTCTCCCGGTAGTGAAGGGCGTTCAGGACTCCGTAACCACAGGGACCACCCTTCTTCCGTGCCCTGGGGCTGCCGTCACACTCCCGGGTCCCCACGGTCTCCGCGGGTCGCCTTCCCCTCCCCCTCCCCGTTCCCATTACACTCACAGGGACCCTGTCCGGATATTTCTTCCGGATCTTTTCTCCTTCCTTTTTCCGATACTCAAAGGGGTGGTCCTCCTTATACTGGAACTTCATGATGGACCGCAGGGTTTCCAAGATCCCCGGACGGGGCCTGCCTCCCTCGCTGATGGTGGCGTCTCTCCGGGCTCGCTTGCCTCTGCCAAATTCCGATGGGTAGCAGAACAGCCTGAGAAACGTCAGCTCGCGTCGCAACGCAGCTTGGCAGAGCTTTCAGAAGGGATGTGGGGTCCCCTCGGACGCAGGCAGGCGCCGGCCAGGTAGACAGACCCCAGCGGCTGTTCCCGAGCGCTGGGAACACAAAAACAACACGGCAGCGCGTTGGTATTGTGACGTCATGACGTCTCACGTCTCCGTCCCGCCCCCAGCGTTCGGGCCGCGCGGGGACCGGGGGATGGGGGGGGGGGAGAGAGAAACAGCGTCGACTGCTGGGTGTTCTCTTTCAGTCGAAACTTTCCAGAGCAGAGTTCGTTGCAAACACGAACATTTTGTACTTGGAGTTTTATTGTGACTGTGACATTAAGATGGTTTGAGTGCAAAAAATATGTTCTACAGATACCTCTTCTCCCCTCTTTCTCGCTGTTTCTTGGTTTGGTCCAGAAACAAACACAGAGGGCGAAATCCAGCTTTTTCCAGTTTGTTGGGGTCCGGAGCCCAGGGAGAAAAAAGGGTCTGGGGTCCTGTGGTTCCTTTGCCACTGCAGAAATGCGGGGTGCTTGCATTTGGCCCTTTGTTCCTTCAGCGGCGCCGCGGGCTCCCCGAGTGCTGGGCAGCCTGACCGTGACCCCTCCACCAGGCTGGCGTCATGTTGTTTGGGTCCTTGCAGCAATTTGCTCCTTCACCAGCAGCATAAACAGAGCATGACTCAGGAATTTGAGGAGATGTATAAGGTGAAGGGCATGACATGTAATCAAGGTCCAGAGAAGTGATGTCAGTTGTGACTGCTAAGGGGCTTCACTCATATTCTAATATAGAAATGATTCTAATATAGAAATGATTCATTTTCTCCTATGAACGTAACTCAGAAGTTGGGCCTGTCTCCAGGAAAAGAGCAAGCAATTCAGGTGATTAGCTCAGTATTTCTCAAACATGCCTTTTTTTATTCTGTAAAAATTCCCCAGAGGATAGTGGTGCTTGCTGAGCGTCCCTAAGGTGACAAAAAAGTGTCACCCGAATAGACAGGTGGAAGACTGGTGGGCTGGCTGCCATCGAGCCCTTCCGCTGCTTCCCTTTCCCCACTAAGAATCAAAGTGGAAAAGCCCTTCCAACCACCTCTAAGGGCAGTGATTCCGGGGATCTGTACGGGCAGGTCAGTGCGAATGGTAAAATACACAGAAGAGAGAGAAAGGGCTGCTTTGCTGTGATCCAAGCCCAGACAACTCTGAAATGTACGACAGTCCCTGTCACCTATCTTCTTTTATCAAGGACTCAGTGTCTTTGGCTTAAAAAACAAACCCACAACATAAAACAAATTAAGTTTCATTAAAACAATTTAAAAAAGAAAGAATACAAATTTACAACTAGTAGATATAATCGTTACAGGTCTAATGTACAACATAGTGATTAGAGACAACATTACTGTATTATAAACTTAAGGGGCACCTGGGTGGCTCAGCCAGTTGAGCTTCCGGCTTCTGCTCAGGTCATAATCTCTGTCCATGGGTTCAAGCCCCGTGTTGGGCTCTGTGCTGACAGCTCAGAGCCTGAAACCTGCTTCGGATTCTGTGTCTCCCTCTCTCTCTGCCCCTCCCCCCTGGCACTCTGTGTGTGTGTGTGTGTGTGTGTGTGTGTGTGTGTGTGTGTGTGTGTGTCAAAAATAAATAAACATTTTAAATTTTTTTTAAAAAAGAAAGAATGAGATCTTGCCATTTATGACGGCATGGATAGACCTAGAAAGTATTATACTAAATGGAATAAGTACGGCAGAGAAAGACAAATATCATGTAATTTCACTTACATGTGGAATCTAAAAAATAAAACAAACAAACAAATAAGAACAGAAACAGAATTATAAATAGAAAACAAACTAGCAGTTGCCAGAGGGGAAGGGTTGGGGAGATGGACAAAACGCGTGAAAGGGATTAAGAGGTACAAACTTCCAGTTATAAGATAAATAAGTCACAGGGATGAGAAGTACAGCATAGGGAATATGGGCAAAAATATCAGAATCATGTCGTGTAGTGACAGATGGTGACTATACTTATTTGACGAGCATGGCGTAATGAAAAGAATTGTCATATCACTATGTTGTACCCCTGAAACTAGTATAACATTGTATGCCAGCTACACCGTAATAAAAAAATAATGTGTAAAACCAGAATATCAATGTACTGGTCTCCAGTGGGAAATCTAACAATGAGGTTCAGCCACTTGTAGCCATTTGCTAAAGTCACTTGATGTGCTTGAGATTTAAACAAAGGAGTAAGTCAATTAAAATTTTAGATAAGTTGTCATTTGGAAAACAGCGCCACCTACCATGAGGATGAGATTGGCCGACTCAAAGACCAGGAATCTTCCTTGCCCTGGGACTGTGCATTGGTGAATCTTCCTTCTTAATAGTTTGAATGTGCCCCCTTTGCTCTGCCCCACCTGTCACAATCCTCAAAAAACTATATTAAAAAACAAAACCCAACTGAGCACAGTTCAAAGATCTTCCTGGCTTCATTCAATGCTCCATGGACTGAGCAGCATCGTACCTAACAGATGGAAAGAAACTGAAAAGCTGGACAAAATGAAAGACAGAAAGCGGAAGAGAAGGGGACAAACAAGTTCCTGGCCTAGAGTGGATTCTTTGTGGCAAAGTCACTTTGCTTTAGGGGACGGGTATGAGCCAGATCCAGCTATCTTGGACAAATCTGCCATGATGGTGTTCTGTGACCCTAAGCCTTCTTGAACCCGCCACCTCCTTCTTCAACCACACTCTTAAGTACATCCTTGGGGCATAACATCCTTTATCTGCTTTGCAGATTCTCAAGACTTTTCCTCCAGGATGGCTTCCCAGCAGGTACTCCCCAGCCTCTAGGGTTATAAAAATAGGTCTGATGGGAGGTGGGACTGTGGAGATGTACTCGTCTTGTGGGTGCCCAAGCAAGACCTTTTCCTTTTATGGAATCTCACCGCAGGTCTGATCACATAATGGCTACAGCTAGGTGGGCTTCTTCCATGGAGGCTCTCTGAGCAAAAGAAATCAGCAGAAAGCCCATCACCTTTATAACTTGGTCTTTTAAGCTCTGACACTTCTGCTTCATTTTATTCCTCAAGGCAGTCACAAAGTCCTGCCCAGTGCCAAAGGGAGGAGTCAACAGTACCCTGTTCAGATGGAAGAAGTGTTAAAGAATTTGTGGATATGTTTTAAACCAATATTACTCAAACTCATCATTCATTAATCTTTAATGTTGTCCTTAAGAGAGAGAGAGAAAGCTCACTGAGGCCAGAATAAATATAATAAAGCTATATGTCATTGTGCCAGTTCTCTCTTTTTCTTTTTTTTAGAAAGAGAAAGAGAGTGAGTGGGCGTGATCAACGCAGAGGGGGGAAAAGAAAATCCCAAGCAGGCTCCACCCTCTGCTCAGACTCTGACACTGGGCTCCATCCTGCAGCCCTGGGACCATGACCTGAGCCGAGCCGAAGTCTGACGCCTAACTGACTGAGCCACCCAGGCACAGTCAGTTCAAAAGCCACGTGACTTACACAAGACTAATCAGATTTTCTCCTTAAAATTTCTCACATACAAACTAAGGAAAGTGTTAAACAAAATTCAACTAAGTAAATTTGAACATCTAATTTACTTTATTTGATGATTTATGAGTCAGGCAGCAACCCATCTTAGCAGATAGAAAGAGCTCTAAGGAGCTGTACAAAGTAGAAGCTTTTTGTAGGCAGCAGGAGGCAGATAAAGGAAGTTTCTAACAAAGAGTGGATAGTTTAGGCAATGTTACCTTCCTTTGGGAGAAGACAGGGATCTATCAAGCAGATTACCTCACTAGCGCTGACCAGGTAGTTCTAGAGTGACTGGTTAAAGCTCACATTCCTGGGAGAGGCTGAAATAGTAATTAGGATAGATAGTAAGTCTCTGGTGATGTAGGCTTAGCACAAGTGACTCCATTTTGGACTTGTCTCTTTTTTAACAAAGTAAGCTCCTTTGCTGATGAAGTTGGATGATATAAGATCAGAGGCTTACAATAGCCATCATTTTGATTTCATGCAGTCCAAATGCACCTGTCAGAGATAAGACAAAGAAAGGGACATTCAGAGAGGCAAGATATATAAGTAGGGATAGAGAGAGGGAGAGATACAGAATTAGAGAGTTCTAATGGCATTTAAATCCTTAGTTTCATGTAGTCTTTCCTAGTAGACTTTGTGCTCTTTGATGGCATATTACTGTTGCTGGGTGAACTGGGGAGTCCCCAGACCTTGGAACCAGGACCTCATCTGTCCCAAAGATGTTGTGAAAGGTTCTCAGTCTTGTCACAAGAAAGCATTCAAGAACAGACACAGCATGGTGAATGGGTGATAAAAATAGTAACATTTATTAAAGCAAAAGCACACTCTCAGGTGTTAGAGCAGGTGAACAAGAGAGAGAGGGAAAGAAAGGGAGAAAGTTGTGCACCCTGGGGCTTGGGTTTCTATCTTTTATTCCCAGTTGTTAATTAACAAAAGAGTGGATTATTCATTACTTGGGGCAGGGATTTCTTGGAGGAGGGGTTTTGCACCTCTTCTTCCTTACTTGGTAAAGGGTTTCCTGTCATGGCATCCTCCATCTTGGGCCTGGCTAGTTTGATCCGGCTTCTTGTGGAATGCTCTTAGGACAGACCTCTAACTTTCCTGATAGCTGGCCACGGCTTCCACTACGCTGGCCTCCAGGTACTTTGTTAGAACTGTTTACTCTAACATTACTTATATTTATATCCTGAGTGCTTGGATAAAAAAATAATGACCAAAAAATGTAGAGTATGTCATAGCCAAACGAACAAAGGGAATTTTAAATTTAAGATGGTAGATTAAAAAAAGATGTATTTGGGGGCGCCTGGGTAGCTCAGTCAGTTAAGCCTCCGACTTCGGCTCAAGTCATGATCTCACCATTCATGAGTTCGAGCCCCACGTGGGGCTCTGTGCTGACCGCTAGCTCAGAGCCTGGAGCCTGCTTCAGATTCTGTGTCTCCCTCTCTCTCTGACCCTCTCCTGTTCACACTCTCTCTCTCTCTCTCTCCCTCTCTCTGTCTCTCTGTCTTTCTCAGAAACTTAAAAAAAAAAAAAAGATGTATTTGTTTTCCACCAAAACGACTATTATGGATTGAATTGTATCCTCCCAAAAGATGATGAATTTCTAACCC